AGCTTTTTTCCAATTGTAAAAACCACTTTTGACAAATACATTATCGTAATTGGTTGATAAAAATTTGCAAAAATAACAAAAGACACATCCAGTGGATTCAGAAAACATTAACTATTTTGGGTCACCCTTTTCTCCATTAATCATCACTTTTTGAAAAAATTTAACTGAAAATATCTATACTGTTTTTTGAACATTCATTTCAAAGATTCGAAATTAGTCTTTTTTTGAAAAAAAGCATATCCCTTGTTTAAATACTTCATAGGCTCATTTTCTCTTAATTGTAAAGCCATAAAGCAAAGCCTTCATGTAGAATGGTGTCTAGGAAAAAATCCTGATAAACTTAAGCTTATTAAAAATAAATAATGATATTTTTGCTAACCATAATGTATATATATATATATATATATATATATATATATATATATATATATATATATATATATATATATATATATATATATATATATATATATATATATATATATATATATATATATATATATATATATATATATATATATATATATATATATATATATATATATATATATATATATATATGTATATATATATATACCGTCATTTGGGGCTACTTGGACCAAAATTTGATACATATTTGATGTTTGTGGTTCTCTCTCATATTTATGTCAATGTAAAAAAAACTTGTTGTTGCTTATTTATGGACTTTTGAGTTAGTAATAATGATTGTAGAGAAAAAAAATATTTGGGTGAACTTCTGTCCCCCCTTTTTTGGGGGGTTAAGATTGGGTTCAAGTAGTCACTGTTGTGGGGCTACTTAAACCCATAATGTAAAAAGCCCTGCCCTTTTGAGGTTTCTAACAAATCCTTCGGATAGCTGATGATATCTTTTAATAAAAAGTTTTACCAATTTGACACCTGAGAGATTTTCATTAAAACATTGAACATCACTCCCTAATCGATCTAGATAGAATTTCACTATAATTCGAAAAATCAAATGAGGTCAGTGGGTAGCCAAAAATTGAATCTTTATTTAAGTGATCACAAAATGACTGTTCTTCTTCAGGTATGAAAACAGCTGGATGCCCTGCATGTTTTTTGTGATAGTAACGTGTCGTCTTCGAAGCACTGTTTTAATGCTGGAGCGGCTGATTTAAATTGTTCTTCAGCAAATCGTTGACTCATAGCTCCACGTATAATTATTATTAATACAGACATGCTCTAAGTTTTAAACGATATGGTCTTTGTTAGCTCAGGATCTTAATTTTCTCTTAAATTTGCGAACTATTCTGGTAGAATCAGTTATGATAGCATGAAGTATACGCAAAAAGGTGTATAACAATAGCTTTAACCAATCATCAACATTATTTAGGTATACATTTTATAACCTAATAAATATTAAAAACATGGTTAAAATAACAAATATATCAACTCCTTTTAAATATATTATTTCTCTTTGGAGTTTAATGTTAATGAAATATAAAATTAATCATTTTCAAAGATAAGCTGCTACAATGACATTTGGGTTCAAGTAGCCCCAATTTTAAACTTCAAACATAAAAATAATCTTTTTATCAAAATAATAAAATTAAAAAACAATTATAATTGCTACATTTTGTAGTAACTGATACTTCTTTTAGGAAATGCTGTCAAATAATTTTTATATTTTTTGGTTATGTCTAGACAGACAAAAGTTTTACACTAAATTTTTACCATTATTGTCATTTCCTTTAAATAAAATATTTTTTGATCACTTTTTACAATAAAATCTAACCCTTTTTTATTTTTTATGTTACTTAATTTGAGTAAGTGTATAATTAACTTATTTACTTTCATATCAAATAATTTTATAAAACATAAATAAATAAATAAACATTTTATTTTTTTGGGTTAAAGTAACCCCGGGTAGCTCAAGTAACCCTGCATGACGGTATATATATATATATATATGTATATATATATATATATGTATATATATATATATATATATATATATATATATATATATATATATATATATATATATATATATTATATATATATATATATATATATATATATATATATATATATATATATATATATATATATATATATGTGATAAAAAATATAACAAATAGATATAGTATATCTTTTTTATTCATGTAAGCATAACTAAACTAGACGTTCTTAAATAATATTTTATTCACAATATAACAACAACTCAATTAATTTCCAAAAATCTTTAATTATTATTTTAAGTTATTTTATTGAAATCTTTGTAAGTTTTGTAGCAGCTACGCAACGTTCATACATTTTATAGTAAAATATTGACTTTTGCAAAACGACAAATAAGTCATCTTACCCCGTTCATCATGTCCTATAAGATACACAATCTTTAAAATGATTCAGAAAAATACATAAACAAGTTATCATAGCCAAATAAACTAAATGAAAAACTCTCGCTGACCTTAAGATGGCGATGTAATTATGCAATAAATCAAATACAAGTGAAATTTTTTTTTTTTTTCAGAACATCGGAAAAACTTTTTAATACTTATTTCTTTCCCTATAAATAATATTTAAAAAGAAAGCATAAATAAATTTAGCATACACAATCTTCTTATATCTTAGCTACAGTCAGCTTTCATATATAGCCGAGTTTTGAAGATAACGGTAAGTTTTCATTTTGCCCCATTCTTCATCTTACCCCAAGTTCCCCTACCTGGGTCAATTTCATTATTACGAATTGCAGAACACTTTCAACTTTGAGAACTTTATTTAAAGGATCGAGGCAGGCTACCTCATTTTCCGTGTTGTTGTTTTTATCTTTTTTTTCGTCGTTTTTATTATTTTCTACAGTGTGTGGAAATTGCATATTGATTTTGTTGACAGTCTTTTTTTATTTTTGTGATTTTGTTTTCAATTAGAGACTGTCCATTAATTACGTCAACAATTTTTTTGAAATTTTTACCTCCCCCCCTCCCCCTTGTCAACAATTTGTCAAATTTCCAGAGACCCCCACCCCTATAAAATTACGTCAATTTTTGATTACCCCCCCCCCCCTATACAAAAAAGCTACGTTACAAAATCAGCCTAATTTTCCGTTATTTAAGCAATGAAACTCAAAAAAAAGAAAAGAAAAATTGTTGACATCAACTTTAATTGAGCTCCCCCCTCTCCCTCATCAAAAATTCGCGACGTTAAAATTATCTTGATTTATCTCCACATTTTTTAGTTTTGAGATAAAACGGTTTAAAAAACAAAAACTTTAGGAGACGGCGTATAAATTTTTTTTTATAACTTATGTTTTTTCTGCAACTTTTTTACTTTTAACTTAGATTTCAATTCAGTAGAAAGACATTATTTTGAGGAACACAACACTATCATTAACTCAATTTTTTCAGAAAGTGGAGATAGAACAAGATAATTCAAACGTCGCGAATTGTCGAAAAAGTTCAGACCCTTCCCTCCCCCCTATTTTGTTGACGTAATTAATGGACAACCCCTTAGACATTTTAGCAAACTTAACTTTAGCTTTTTATGTTAATAAAATATTTAATTTTCAAAGTTAATAATAAATCTTTTGCTTTGAATCGGGGCCCCGAAATTGTGGGGTCCGACCTTAGGCTTATACCTCTCCTTAATCCAGCACTGCTCACAGTTCCTTAGCAGCTTAAATAAGTCTTTTCATTTAAACCTTTTTTAGTGAAATTATGCAAGATATATACAATACAAGCTTGAGGATTATAAAATAATAGTACAAGTTGCTTAATTAAAAAAAAAAAAAATTTTCTTTAAAAAAATACAATAAGTCTTACACAATCTTTGTTGAGCTACAGATGTTTGCAAACTTGTGGACAGTTGTGTTGAAAACACACCTGTCCACAATTTTACGTATCAAAGTTTTACCTAAAATTACTTATGAAGATGTCATGTTTAGTTCAGACCTACTCAATGCAACTAAGGCATAGAATAAACTAACTCGTAAAAAAAAAGCCGATAATTTAAAACAAATCTGATTGGTTATTATTGGGAAACCGAAAAATTTTTCATTTATTGGTATTTAATTTATGCAAACAAAAAATTCGAATTGAAAGTAATTTGTTTATAAAGTTTACCGCCTCTATTTTTTCAATAATTTTTTATTTCAAGATGGCCGAATAAGTCCCGAGTATTTAAAAAAAAAAGATACTAAATACCGAATACAGTTTTTTAAATGGTGCTAAAAGTTATGATTATTTATGCAAAAACGATTCTGGTAGAAAAATTAACACTACCATAGGTTATCTAAATTTAACGTGACATTATTATTAAACATATTCATTTAGGTGTGGTATTGAAAATAGAAACTTCAATTTTCATAAAAAAATAGTTTTTCATGGATAATTTTCCCAAATAATGTCTGATTAAAAAGGTCAAGTTAAATTCATTGAATACAAACATCAATACGTGCTTTTATAAAAAAATCAAATTCATAGACTTATTTATAGCCAAGCCCCGAGGTACTTAATGTTAAAAATTGCATCTTTTCTAAATAAAACTCCGCTTGACGATTTGTTATAGCCGCATTACTTTTACCAGATTATAATAGTGGTTAAAATAACCTTTCCATACATACCAAATATATTATACTTTTTGATGAAAAAACTTACATATATTGTATTTGAAAAAACTTATTTTTTAGTTCGGAAAAACATGTACCAGGCCTTAGTTGCATTGAGTACTAATAACTTTCGCCAAAGGAGTTCATTATGCATAGAGCTCGAGCTCAACAAAGATTGTTTAAAACTTTTATGTAATTTTTTATAAATGAAAAATATTTATGTCTGTTTAAATTCATGACAGATTTTTGTTTCTTTATTTATAAATATTTTTTACATGCATTTTAATTGAATGTTTCGGAAACAATTTTGAAAACAAATGTTTAAAAAAAATTAAAACAGTTACGTCTATAACTACTAACGCACTACACGCTTTTTTGAAATAAAGTATTTAGTGCCTACCTCAGCAATAAAAAAGAAAGAAAAAAGATCTACACACTAAAGATGTTGGTTTTTAATTTAAAAAATTGTTAAAACAAATATATTAAAAAAAAGAAGTTGTGTAAGACAAATAATATATACAAAGATTGCTTTTTTTAATCACTGTCAGTTTTCTTTATTATTTAGCTTGATGTTATGAAAATCCTCTGCTATTTTTAACATCAGATCTTTATGTGACAATAATGGATTATTTTTTTTAACAATAGCAAAATTACTTTTGAGAAAATTCGCATAAGCATTTGGAGTTCTTTTATTTGTGCTCGATGAATTAGTCAATATAAAATTACCATCACAGCGAATACAAGTGTGTCTATTAGAATCAACAGATTTCGAATGTCGACCAACTTCAACACCGCAACCTTCACATTTATATATATACTTATAGTTAATATCATATTGATGACACCGAGATATCACGGGTATATCAGAGTGCACTCTGTTACTTTTATTTGCCCAATATTTCCAACGTGGACCATGCCCTCCTTTCATTCCATCTATTAACCAAACAGCAGCATGACAAAGTTCATGTATAAGAGTATCTCTTACTCTATCTGTTGAATCAACAACTTTATCAGATAATTCAATAGACGAACATCTAACACCCATTGATGACTTGTAATAGCAAAAACCAGCAGTCTTGGTCATCCTTTTGTTCCATGTTATAGGCAAATCGGCTGGTAGTTTATTATCAAATACAGTTTTGTTAAACAATGTAAAAAGCTCACTAACATATTGGTCTCTAACTTTGCAAAATTCACGCTTGTAAGCAGGTGTGCCTGGAACAGATTTAATAGCATATTGATTAAAAACATTTTTCACAGCAGACTTGGGCGTTTTAAATACTGAGTTTACCTTTTTTTGAGGAACTGTGGTTTGTTTAGGTGTTTCAAAACATATGTTATAAACTGGTTTAAGTTTTGGTGAGACTTTGTTTACAAAACTTGAAGTATTTATCAATGAGGGAGAATTTATTTCAAAAACACTGGTATCGTCATCATAATCAGAATCTATCAATTCTAATTCAGAGTGATTATAATCATGTTTCACAGGGACAAACAATGAATTACTTTTATTTTTTGATGACAATTCTGACTGGTTAATAAACATATCAAAGTCACTTTCACTTTCAAAATCATCAGTCTTTTGTTTTGAATCATGTTTTTCATTAAAGATTTTGGAGTTTTTTTTTGTTTCTACTGAACTATCTGAATTTATACTTTGTGATGATTGAGTTTCACTATCACTGTTATCATTTTCATCAGTGTTTTTATTATCTTTTTTAATATAATCTTCATCACTCGAACATTGACTACTTTCTGAAGATATCTTGTGTTTCCGAACACAAACAGATTTTCTTTTTTTTTTCCTTATAATGACAATTTCTTCTTCATCACTTTCCGATGATAAAACAAATTTCGGAAAAGAAAAACTTTGATTTTGAGTAATTTTTGCAGGGGAGGAACTACAAATAGAATTTTCACTTACATCAGAAATATTAATATAGTTTGCCTTTGATTCAAAACAAGATTTCTCAGATAAAGTAGAATCCAGAGAACTATGCTTTTCTTCAAGCTTACCTGCTGCATAAATAGAGTGTGCTTTTCCTGGCTCATTTTTTGCATTAATAAAATCTACTTTTTCAAAATCATTTTTTACATTAACAACATCTCCTTTTCCATATTCATCTTCTAAATTAATGGGATGCGTTTTTAAACTTAAAAAGATATTTTGAGAAGCTTTACAATCAAAACAATCCATAGTGATATGCATTTCTTTAATTTCCTCTGCAGTATTAATAAAATCATTCACATTTTCAAAGTTCAACTTTTGAGAAAATTCTATTAAAATTTGTCTAACATCATGCTCCATGTTTTAAGAATTAATTTCTATTTTCTAAAAAAAAAAAAAAAACAATACATGTATATATGTATGTATGTATGTATGTATGTATGTATGTATGTATGTATGTATGTATGTATGTATGTATGTATGTATGTATGTATGTATGTATGTGTATGTATGTATGTATGTATGTATATATAATTTTTTGTCAAACATAAATTATATATAGTCATTTGAAAATTAATAATAACATCTACATTTCTCTATAAACATTTATATAATTTCTTATCGAAGAAACTAAGATTTTTGAAGAACTTATATTTTTTAGTATATTTTATTTGAAAACTTATTGGTTTAACAAAAATAAATAAACAAATGAATATTTGCACTAAAAACTAACATATTATAAAATTTTATTTTTGCACTTTTCTCTTAAAAAGAGAAATTAATTGAATAGAATTAATAAAAGTTGAGTGCATTCATTTTTTCTAAAATTTCGTTCTAAAACACTGTTTTCAGTTCAAACTCAAATTTTATTTTTGAATGAATATTTTGTGACACTGCTCTTGCAGCTGTATTGAAAATATCTGTCAGAAACACTTGTTAATGCATCCATTATATTCTCATAACTATTCATTAATACTTTGACAGAATTGGATTGAGCATTCCATCTTGTCATTGATAAAGGTTTTATCAATTTTTCAGATATTTTTTTGTAAAGCAACCCATCTTTTCGTAGACAAAGAAAAAAAAAACAAATCTGCTGCACTATTCCAAAATAATTTATAGATTTTATGCAAGCATCAACTCCACACATCCCAAACCCTCAGTCGATGTAGCAGCACTCCACTGCGAGTCAGGCTATTTGTCAGTCGATGTATGTACTGAAGCCCCCAGCAGCAGGCTATTTCAGAATGACATCAGATTGCTTACCTTAGTATGCAATACTATTTGTATATATATATATATATATATATATATATATATATATATATATATATATATATATATATATATATATATATATATATATATATATATATATATATATATATTATATATGTATATATATATGTATATAAATATATGTATATATATATATGTATATATATGTATATATATATATATATATATATATATATATATATATTATATATGTATATATATGTATATAAATATATGTATATATATATATGTATACATTTATATGTATATATATGTATATATATATATATTATATATATATAAATATATATATATATATATATATATATATATATATACATACATATATATATATACATATATATATAATAATAATAATAATAATAATAATAATAATAATAATAGAATAATAATTAGAGATTAACATGCCATCATTTACAACAATAGTGATAAAGTAATTCAGAAACACTGAGTAAGTTTACTATGAGTTCTTGAAGGCGTCTACAAAAAGTTTGTATTTTAGTCTTTTTTTTGATTGTTTTTAAAGTGGCTGAGTTACACATTTTTACAGACAAGACATTCAATATTTGAGGTATGCATTCGTGGAAAAAGACTTTGATCCTAAGGAAGTTTTTGATAGGCGACGAGTAAATTGACAAATGTCTGATAATTTTGTGCCTTGTTTTGAAATTCGGGTTTCTAAAAGTTTGAATAGTTATGCAGGAGATTTAGTATTTAAAGTTTTATATGTAATAACTGATATTTTATAAACTATTTGTTGATGGATTGGTAACCAATGGAGAATTTTTTCTGATTTTGAATAAAAAGGAGAATGAGAGACAATGCGAGATAAACTATTTTGAGTACGTTGGAGTTTTTTATGATTTTTTTTTGTAAGATCCTGATAAAAGACTGTTACAATAGTCAAGTTGAGAGTTAATAATGCCACAAGTAATTGTGTTAGCTGCTTCGTTGGTGAGACAGTGAGACAGTGAGACATTGACGAATGTAGCAAAGAGCACGAATATGGTAGTTGCAGGATTTAACAGTGTTGTTTCCATGTTGGTCTAAGGAGAGTGTTGAATCTAGGGTGACATCTAGGATTCTCATCGAATTAACTTTAGTTAGTGTTGTTCTTGAGAATGTAATTTTGGAATCATTTTTAAATTTTCCAATTTATTTCCTAGATCCAAACAAGAAAGCTTTTGTTTTGCTTGGGTTAAGCAGAATTTCACGCATACATTTTAAGCAGAAGTCCACTTTCTAGAAACCATTTTGTGACTGCATTAACACATTCAGTGATTTTACTAATGTTATCTTTTCCTGGGTTAATGAAAGTATATAACTGAGTATCGGACGATTGATGATGATTTGTGCCATGTTTAGCTATAATATGATATACAGGTGAAACAAACATCGAAAATAAAAATAGGCCTAATACACTACCTTGTGGTACTCCTGTTGAACTAGTTGACAATTTAGATACAAGCAATTAGCAGGTTGTGAACAATCAAATGCTGCAGATATATCCAGAGAGAGGAAAATGTTGGTTTAAGCATCATCAATGTTTAACAGGATCTCCTGTTAAACATTGATGATGCTTTAACCAATGATGACACAGATCCAGCATTTTTCGATGATTAAGATAGCTAACTTTCTGACATGGAACAAATTCCAAAAGTATATATGTTTATACTTATGTTAAATAAGGATGCTTTGCAAAAAATTATGATGATTGGAATCCGGGAACAAAAAAGCCCTAAAATTTTGACTACAACTGCCCCAAGAGAGCAAATAAGCAAAGAGCAAATAAGGATGGTTTTTGTTTTTTTTCAGAAAAACAAAAACCATCCTTAGTTGCTGTTTTTTTGTTGTTTTTTTTGTTTTTTGTTTTTGTTTTCTTTCAAAAACCATAGGTTTTTAAAAAAACCTATGGTTTTTGTTTTTCTTTTTCTTTTTTTACTCCCATCTTGTTTTTTTACTTGTAATAAACTAGTCTAAAAGATTATTTTAATTCCAACACTAGAAGCTGGTGCGCTTAACAACCTTCAATATCCATGATAATGTTTAAGTCCAAATATTTTAGAGATTTCCACCATTCTATTGGTGATATATTCTTTTAAACATATTCACTATACAAATAGCTTTTATTGAATGGAGCAAATTTGGCTTTCAACTTGAATACTATTGGTACCAAGTTCCTAAAATCTCTATCTCTAAAGGTCATTGCAGCTTCATTTCAATTTCAGAAAGATTAGATCTACAATATCTAGGATCAAGCGTGTTTACAAGGAAATGAGCGCCACTGACAGTCTGAAGAAATCTAGTTTCCAACATTTTTTTTATTAGTTGATAAAAATGATAACATGTTTATCAGCTCTTTAAAACTTCAACAGTGTCACTTACTTTTGTTTGATCTCTTTGCAACTTATCTAGAGCAACGCCAATTAGTTTTTATATTTTTAATAAAAATTTAGTTTGGTTTAACTGATACTATTTAGATTAAACCAAATGGTTTAAACCTATCAACCCTGGACATAAGTATAAACTATACATTTTTGGAGTTTGTTCTATGTCAGGAATTTATCTCAAGCATCAAAAAATGCTGGATCCGCGCCTATATATATATATATATATATATATATATATATATATATATATATATATATATATATATATATATATATATATATATATATATATACATATATATATATATATATGTGTGTGTGTGTGTGTGTGTGTTATATATATATATATATATATATATATATATATATATATATATATATATATATATATATATATATATATATATATATATATATATATATAAATATATAAACATATATATATATATAAATATATAAACATATATATATATATAAATATATATATACATACATATATATTTTTTTGACCCCAAAAAAAAAAGACATTCAAAATTATGTTTTGTTGGGTCTATATAAGCTGGATTATATAAAAATTTCAAAAATAATAATCATTTTATGAAAAAACATCCATCATAATAAAAGGCACTTTTTTCATTTTTAGTTAAAAAGTTTTAATTTTTAACAGAAATTATATTCATCTCAAATACATTTATCTCAAATGAAGTGAAGTTATATAAAAATTTCAAAAATAATAATAATTTTATGAAAAAAATATTAATCTAGATTTTACTGAAAAAATAGATTAAAAAAAAACCGATATAGAAAACATTTTAAAATTTATTTTTTAAAATCACCGCTCCTGCAGACGAATCGGTATCGATTTCACAAGTGAAATGATTCCGATTCGTCTGGAAAATTAAAGTAGAATTCAACTTATTTTATAAAAGTTTATTTTTATTCTATAAAATATTCTAGAAAAGTGTAAATTATTCTGTTAAAGATCATAGCTGTTAAAGATTATCTCTGATATTTTGATAGGGCAAAGACACGATCTCCTGGCCCCCACTGCGTCGTCGGCTTTGTCCCGTCGGATCGTCCATATATTACGCCACTAAGCCACTGCCAGCAGCAAGATTTAATAAGAGTCACCCTGGGATTTGTTCTTATACTATAAATATATAGACTTAAAAAAAAATAAACGTGCAAAAGTTCATAATCATTTAGGGATATCAATTTAAGTAAATTTATGATCACATAATTTAAGGACGAGGGGCGTTATAATTTATAATATCGAAACTTAGTAAAATGTTAAAATTAGAATAACTAAGTCATATTTTTCGGTAATTTTTGTTTTAACTGGGTTGTTGTTTTTTTATACCTTTTGTTTTACACTAGAAATAATGTTTTATATGAACAAACTATTATTATACATAACTTATGTATTTAGTACTTTTTCAATAACTTGTTAGCTTTAAAGAATAAATGTGTTTGCAGTTTATTTTTGTTTACACTTTTGATCGATGCAAAAGTTATTATTTATTTAAAAAAAAAATTTTCCTGTTGAATTAATTAATTTGAAATGTACATAAATTATATAACTTTATAAAGGTATATAATTTATATATATATATATATATATATATATATATATATATATATATATATATATATATATATATATATATATATATATATATATATATATATATATATATATATATATATATATATAAAGAAAATGCCTAATACAATAAAAAGTTTGAGAACTCGTAATGAAAACAAGAGATATGCTGGTTTGCCATCTGATCTTCCAGTTAGTGATCTTCCAACTTATAGGCAAGTGGTTCAATATTCCTACTTTATTTTAAAAAACATAAACAGTGTCAGAAATATTAATTCTCCAAAAATTGTTTCAAAAGTTGCCAGTGACCTTATTGATCTGTGGATTAGAGTAAATCCTAAGCTGCCTCTGATACACGAGAAGTCAGTAACCAAAAAATGTTTTAGACTTTTCATCAAAGTTTTGTCTGCAGAAGGCAAATTCAAAAATTCAAATAAAAACAAGGAGTATCTTGATTGCAATTTTGAGCGTTTATTTGATTTGTCATCATGTAATTGTGGACTTCCAGTAATAGCTTGCAATGATAAGTAAGAAAGGCCTATTTTTATTTTAAAATATTTATTATTATAAAACAAAAATCAATATTATTAAACAGTTTCATGGTTTGCAGTTCTAGTTTTCATTTAAGTTTATTTTGTAGATAAATAAATTATGTTTTGAACATTTTTATAGATCTGTGAAGTGTAGGAACCAACCAGATTGTAAGACAACACATTTTGCTTGTTTCTGTGAAGTTAACAAAAAGGTAAATAAGTTGAAATTATAAAAGTTACTTTAATTTAAATCTATAGTTTGTTAAACAAGTAATCAGAATCAAAAGCTTTTCAGAAAAATAACGTAATTAATTTTCTTTGACTTTGGCAACAAATCATTTTGTTATATATATTATTAAGAAACGCATCATTGTAATATAATACAAGAATATATTATATATTGTTTTTTTACTTGACTCCATGTCTTTGTAGTATACAATATATTTGTTTTTAATTGACTTAATGTAAAGTAATTGTTAAAAAGCTCTTATACATATTATAATTTTTATGTTTTGCAATTAAAAAAAGTTTTACATTTTTCAGGTACCACTATTAGATAGAGAATATTTGAAGGATCAAAAATTGAAAATTGGAACTATTGGAAGATTTCAAATTGGTACGATTGATAAAAAAGCAGTTGCCATCGAAAAAAGAAAGCGAGACCGTGAAATTAATCAGCAGATAAAATCTGCTAACTCACTTGCTCCAGAAATTCAATGTGATCATTATATGGATTGTGATTTAGATAATAAAAATGACTCAGAAACAGATCCTGACTATTCGATAACTGCACCAGCTGAAAGAAATCAAACTTATTTAACAAACTTGGCAAAAGCCGCTATTAGGTATGAAATAAGCGATGTTGCAACAGCTGCATTGGCAACAGCTGTATTAATTGACTATGGAATTGTTAAAAAAAGTAATAAAGCACAAATAATAACAGAAAAAAAAATTTTTGGGGAAAAAAAAAGAATCAGCAGTATTATAAGCTCTAAACATTTAGCTGACGTTAAAGAATTAGAGGTTATTGGAGTTGATGGAAAAAAGAACAAGTTTACATTGACACATTCTATCAGGTATAACAGTAATGGAGATCCAGTTGTTGTTGCTGCAATCAAAGAAGAATACCATCTAACGTTTACAGCAGAGAGTGGACCCACATCACAAAGTTATTTGACTCATGTAGTTATACCTAATGGAATTGGTGCAACCATGGCAAATGCTACTGCTAATGTTTTGTTGGAATTTAACAGTGTTCAGAGTTTAATTGCGGTTATTTTAGATAATACAAGTTCAAATACAGGTTGCGATAGTGGTTTGGTTGTTAAACTTGAAAAAATTATAAACAAAAACTTACACCTTTTAGGATGTTTGCTGCATCAAAATGAACTTCCACTGCGACATATCATATCAGAATTAGATGGAAAGACAGTTAGTCCTAATTCTTTCAAAGGGCCAATTGGGGAGGCTGCATCTAACCTAACACTTCATGAACAGCCATTGTTTCAATTTGTACCCATAAAGTCAGAGGTAGAGTTATTTGTTAGCAAAGAGATTATAAGTGATCTTAGTACAGACCAGCGCAAACTCTATGAGTATTGTGTTGGTATTTCAAAAGGTTTCATTTCTGAAAGATTTGTTTCAAAAAAACCAGGACCAGTTTGCCATGCCAGATGGCTAACTTTAGCACTCAGAATTATGATGTTATATGTTAGGACTAAGGAGCCATCTCTTGAGCTATTAGCAGTAACTAAGTATATTGTGCAAGTTTACTGTGTAATGTGGTTTGCTATCAAGCACTCTGGACAATACAAAGATGCTTGTCTACTCCTATATAAAAATATTCAGTTGGTCAAGCTTCAAGAAAGCAGGATTCAAAGTATCGTTTTTACCAATCTCCAGGGAAATTCATACTGTTGTTTGCAGGAAAATTTTCTTTACTGCATGCTGCAGGATGAAAATATACATATAAGAAATCGAGCTCTTAACCAAATTCTTATAATAAGAAAATTAAAAGAAGACATAACTTTCAAAACTCAGCTTAAACCAAAATCGGTAATGAAAATAAATTTTGATGCTGGTTCTTGGGACTTTCTTGTTTCAGTTGATGAGATTCAAATTGAGCCACCAGCAACATATAGCATTACTTCAGAAAAAATTAGAGAGGCATTTGAATCTGGACAAAAACTTTGCCTAATTGATTTTCCTAACAATTCGCAATCCGTTGAAAGAGCAGTAAAACTAACCTCTGAAGCTGCTAAGCAGGTTTATGGTCTAGAAAAAAGACACAAATTCATTTTGGCAAAGAACCAAAGTCGAAAAGAGAATAAGAGAAATGTAAAAAAACGTGATTATTTTATAAAATAAATATCTAATTTTGCAATTTTCTGTGCGATTTATTTAAAAACAGCTTGCTATGACAAAGGCTATAAAAAACATTCTGACTAAGTTGTTTAGTGTTGATGAATTAATATTCATTAAAAATAACAAAGCTACGAAAGATATAAATCGACTGTAAAAAACGTAATAAATGGCTAAAAATTAAATTAGGGCCATATTAAGGTGGGGGCGGATAGGTCTGCAGCCCCTGGCCCTTACAAAAAAATCCCCAAAGCCCTTTGGAGGCGTTGTGAATAAATAAATAAATAGAGATTCAGTAATCTATTTAAGGTAGACCTTTACAAAAAGATCTATATAAAAGTTTTACCCCCCCCTGATAAATTTAAGACCCCTTACTTGGGGGGCTTGCCCCACAACCCCCCTGAAAGGAATTTTCTGGCCCTTAGATCCCCAGGTATAGCCTCGCTAACGCTGGGCATTTTTACCTCATCGCCACATTAGGCCCTCCTATAATAACAGCCCCAGGCCTAAGAATGCCTTAATCCGGCCATCAATTCAATTAAGATATATATTTGAACCGATTTCCCAAAGTAAATATAAGTTAAACAAAGTTAAATTTATATTTTTTTTGTTATTTATATTGCAATGAACAAATTCCAGGGTGACTCTTTTCAGTTTTCAAAAAAAACACCTTCTAGGCAGTGGCTTATTACGCCACGCAAGTTTTGACCATTTGGACCCCCTCCACCGTCGTCACAAAAACGTAACTCTCCCCCTAGATTTATCGACGACCTAAAGTACTTCGGTTATAATGAGACATTAAAGTTTATATAGTATTTCAAATCACAGTTTAGTTAAATTCCATTTACTCGAAATTCATTAATGAATTCGTGCCAAGAAGATCTAATTCTGATGAGACTCTTAATAAAAGCGTTCATAAGCTTCATCTCAGGAAATATTTTCTGATTAAAGTTAGAAGCTGATATTTATGTTTAACTATTTCCAGTTCCAAGATTCCAGTTCAGGTGGTCGTATATAACACTTCGCATTTTAACACGCCACAAATCTTAACTCGACACTTTTGATATTTATTAAACTTTACTTTTCTCAATTGAAATTTTCAGAAATTAAAAACATTACGAAACACCACTATACTAACGAAAAAATGAAAAATGTTTGAATTACAAAAGATAACATTGAAAATAGTTTAATAACACAATGACTTCCTTTTTATAAAAATATAGCTTTATATATATATATATATATATATATATATATATATATATATATATATATATATATATATATATACCCAGCAAACACGGGGACGTACAAAAAACGTACAATGAACATTCAGACGGAACGTCTCGGACGCGTTCTAAACTGATTCTAGATTAGACGCTTTAAGACGTCTTTTTCGGACGTTCAAAAGATGTTCTGTAGAGACGTAAAAGCTTCATTTGCGTATTAAAGTGTTCATGATAGAACAGCTGAAATTTGGTCCAGAAAAAACGTCTTTTGAACGTTCAAAAGATGTTCAGAACGTCTTTAAAGCGCTCAAACGACGTTTGTTAAGCTACAAGCGTAATTTAGTAATTGCAGACATTTGATAACTGAATTACGCTCATAGCTTAATTAACTTAAAAACCCAACAATTGTGGGGTTTTTACCACTGGATTTTAACGTTTAGAAAACATAACCGGAATGTCAGCAAGTGCAAATATAAAACACAATTTGCAGTGTAAACCATGTTAAAGATACTTCAAATTACAAAAATATTTAAAAAACATCTATTATGATTTTCTTTATCCCGTCCACCTCCGCCTTTTCTATCCGGCGCTCTTTTAAGCACATTTCCAACGCATTTTTCTATTTTCATTTCATCATACTTTGAAATGGCCTCTGTAAAAAATAAATTTGAAATATAAGATTTATAATATATATTATAAATAGCTTAATCAGCCATGCATAATTAAACATTAACCAAAAAAGCCATTTTATTATTGATATGAGTAAAACATAATTGTTTGATTGCATCCCTGAAAATAAAATTCCATTAATTTTAACTTAAAAATAAAAAAGTACAAAAATGATTTTTTATTTTATCAAACCTTTTCGATAATTAAAACCCATCCTTGACTATTTATAATATATTATAAAAAAAATATATGTACCAGCAATAACCTTCATCAGATTTGTCTTACGAAACGCATTCTTATTCCTCGTTCCATCCATATTAAAACTTGACATTAATTTGTTTTTCACGAGTCTAGGTAGTAAAACGAACCATTAATAAATATCTAGCATAAATTAAAGTATGTAACCAAAGAATATAGCTGGCAGAGAAGAGTATATGATTTCTGTTTTATAATCTTCTTCCGCCACCATTTTCAGACATCAGCAATTAAAAAAAATTCGGGCTTCATCTTAACCATCATAAATGTTAACTCATATAATCTTGTGTTTTTTATTTAATAAACTTTATGTAAAGCAAAATGTTAAAAACAAAAGATTTAATTAAATAAATACTGAACATTTTTTCAACGATACATACTTTAAAAGTATTGATTTTACATTTGTATAGCATGAAACACCACCAATTTTGGAAAGCTGAGTTCTCTAAAAAAAAACTATTTAATTATAGAATAAAAACGTATAAATGATGGTATATAAATTTAATGTACAAAACATAGTAACCCAATATTGTATTATGGCAACCCATTATGTTTAAAATTCCTTATTATATTAGAAAGATCCATGAAAATTCTATAACAAAAATGCGAAATCACGTACTATTTTGTATTACTTTATTATACTAAAACCTACCAAACGAGTGTGTTGACAATATCATTCAACCCCTTGTCAAACTCATTAAAACCTTCCAAATCTGACATTTGATTTATAGAATAAATCGAATCAGGCAATTCATTTATTTCACCCTGCTTCTTTATTTCTTCTAAAATCTCTTGTAACTTGTGGAGAACCTTATACTGAAATCCTGTAAAATTTAAAAAAGAAATATTTAAAAAACCAGAAAACTTATCTTTATAACAATATAAAAGTTAAAAACTGGCATAATTTTAAGTAAATATTATTGTAAATTATTCCATACTTGCTTCTGTTAATGGAAACTTGTTTAATGCAATATTTGAAGTATTTATACTTTCTTGTTCATAGCTTTTTGATACAGATGAAGTTGAAATAAATGGAGAATTAGGCTGTGATGAGAACGATGGTTTTAAAATTCGTTGCGATATTCTCGATTTTAACGGTTGCCGATGGATTGGGGGTAAAATGATAAAAAATCTCTTTTCTATTATTTTGGGAGAAAGATGAAGATGTAAATAAGATTGTGACTCAGTTGATAATACATTAGAAAAAGAGTGAAATGAAGTGAAGGGAGATTTAAATGGTTGTTGGAATGGTGATTGTGTTATAGAAGATTTTATCTTTACAGCTATTGAATTTAAAATATATAAATATTAGGTAAATAGTAATATAAAATATAAAGTAAGATGTATCTATCAAATAAAAAAACTTGCGTTTTTGTTTTTTGGTATTATGCAAATCTTCATTTTCTTCTTCCGATGTAAAATCAAAACCATCACATAAACTTTTATCATCTATGAATAAAAGTAAAAAATCCAATAAAATATAAAGTAAATGAAATTTAAAGAAATGTGGAACAAAAAGATTGTAATAAAAAAAACAACAACTGCAAAATACCTTATCAGGCTTTCACAGGAAGACGTGCGATTTCACGTCTTTATATGACCACGCAAGTTACATTTTGCTATGACGGTTTGACCGCGGCTAATCAAAAAACGTTTTAGAAATGCGCTAAAATAAAAAATATTCTAAAAAAGTGAAATTAATTACATCCAAACTTCATAACAAATATTTTTATTATTAGCGAAACGATTTTTAATAAAGTAACAATTTACTGAAAAAAAGTTTTGTTTTTTAAATATAATTGACAGTTGTATATATTTTTTTAATCTAAAACATATAAATTGTTTAAGTGTTCATTTCTAAAATAAATCTTATTAAAAAATAAAAAATTGTTTTGTTTTTATAAACGATGACATTCTACGACTGCGAATGTCTCTTTAACGAATTTAAATATAAGAATGATTAAAGTTAATGCATTTAAAAAGATAAACAAAATTTTGTTAAAAAAAAAGTTTTTGAAAACTGTAAGTTTGATCTTAAATGCTTTTATATTATCAAAACGCTTTTAATGGAGTAAAAAAAAACGCTTCTAATTAATTTAAAAAAAAGTATTAATAAAATATTTTTTATTTTATTTATATAACTATGTATTTTTTATGAGAAATATTTAACTTTTGAACATATTAAATAAATAAAAAATATATAAAAATGTTGAAACAAAGATTAAAAAGGTTTTTAATGTGTAAATTAAATAGACTAAGCATTTTAGTTTGATGAGTTTTGTTTTAGTTGCGTTATATATATATATATATATATATATATATATATATATATATATATATATATATATATATATATATATATATATATATATATACACACAAAATAGAGTGCCTAATTTTCCTAATATAAAAAAGCAATAATAAATTAGTTGAAATCACCTTCTCAAAAGTCTTTTTTGAGAAAACATTAATATATATATATATATATATATATATATATATATATATATATATATATATATATATATATATATATATATTTATGTGTTTATATATATATATTTTTTCGTTTTTTAATTTTCACAATTATTTTAAAGTCAATTTTTAGGCTGAAGAAAATTTATATCATAGACTTTTGAACTTTTTTAGTAATATTAGATAAGGTCTTATTGACATGGAACAATGTAATTTTGCATAATTTAGAATAAATCTTTTTTTTTTAACAATGCCAAGCTTGCAAGAACAAATAATAATAAAGAAAATTGTAATCAATTCACTTAAATAAATTACAGTTGTTTAAATTTAATGTAAAGTAACAAGAAAAAAAGGAGATCGCTACTTTCGCTTTGAGATGTTTTTGTTTACTGTGCACCTTCGGAAGAATGAGAACGAGTAATTTCTGGAACAAAAACATAAACAAAGCGCTATTGTTTGCTTCCAGACTATATATTTCTTATGACTATGTTTAATTAAAAACTATTTTTTTTTTTTTTTCCGTTATTGAAAGGCGACCGCCATTCCGGAAACCACTGCAAAGACCCCGGAATAAAGTGATATATATGTTTGCGGGCCTGTAAAATTTGGCGTTTTTTTTTCAAACGCAAAAATTGAGAACAAAGTGAATATTTGAAAATCAAATCCAAATCCTCCAGATATTTGTCAAATCAAATTCAAATCTATCCCCTCAAAGAACAGTTCAAATTCAAATCTTTAAAGGTTTGACGTATATTTGATTTTGCCGAACACTAATAGTAACTATTTTTTCGTCAATAAGTCCTTCATTAAAATTAAGGCTTACCTTTATATCTTCTAATTCTTTTGTTAATTTTTTTATACAATTTGCATTTCCATCAACATTTTTCTCTACTTTTTCAAATCTATCGTTTATTATTTTGATGTTAGCGCCAATAATATCGAGAACTGCTTTTTCTTGCTTTTGAAACATTTCTTCCGTTTCCTTTTTAAATTCTTTGAACATTTCTTTTAAAAGTTTCTTTATTTCTGGAAGTGTTACAGCCATATTATTAAGTTAAAATTTTTATTAAAGATACGTCTTTATTTATAATAAATAAAAAGTTTTTTTTTTTTTTCGCCACGAGGTAAAAAGTGCGTCCGTTCTTGTTGAAAGCTTGAGTTGAAAAAAAACTCTAAACTCGGTGAAGTTCGTAAACGAACTCGGTAAAGTTCGAAACAATAATTTTGCCGTTTAATGATTGGCTAATATTAACGAATGAAAATTTAGCACAAAAGTTTTAATTTGCGCTTCAAAGGCCTATTTTTTACCGCCTCTAAAATAAGTAAGATCCTTTAGCTGAGTAACTCCTTTAGCTGAGTTCATTGAAAGTATCAAAGAAGAAAAATTGGTTGGTTTTTTGCAACAAAAAAGGCTAATGCCACTTCAAAAACTTTGTCTATCTGGTCAAAGGATGCTTGTGCAAAATTATGTTATGAACGTTGTCAAGTATGAATACTTAACATTTTTATTATTATTTACACAAAACAGGTTATCCCTTGTATCTTTAAAATACTTTATTTAAGGAAAAACGTATTTAGCGATGTAACACTTGCAAAAGAACGAAGTTCGAGCAGGATTTTTTGCAAGCACTACATCTTCCAGTGTAAGTCCGATACTTCATTGATTTAAAGTGGTCTAGGCTAGATGAATCTGTATACAGAGAATAAAATAAGTATTATAATATAATATTTACATTATTACAAACATTGGACAAGGTCCGCACTGTACCTTGATAATCTGGAAAATTTGTTAATATTGGCTAAAGTCGTGTAAAACCTGGAAAAGTCGGAATTATTTTTTTCTTTAGATAGTTAGGAAAAATCTGTAACTCTAGTTAAGAAGTTACTCGTTTCACAATTGAATGCTGTATTTTGAAAACGTGATGAGTCACACTTTTTTTAAAAGTGAGGTTATTTGAAAAGAATATTTTTTTTTAGGAAAAGATAAAATTATAAGATAAAATAAAGATTTTTTTAGATGAAAGAAACAATTTTTAGATAAAATAAAAATAAAATTTTCTACAGGAGAATTGTTTTTCACTCTCTTATAAAATTTTAATTTTGTGACTTGCATTTTCAAAATACAGCGCTCAATTAAGCTGTTATGTTTTTTTGATGCTACCCATTTATTTTTTCTGAAACTTATGTTTTTCTTAGTGTTCATTCTTAGTCATCCTTAATAATAAGATCCATACTAACATGTATAATAAGCTTTATACTAATATCCAACTTAACTAATAGCTAAGTTTTATAAGTTTTGTCATTTAAAGCATGCACAATCTTAGCATTTCCATTACAGTAGATAGTAATGGTAATCCTACAGTTACGCAGCCTAAAATAGTTATATTTTTGCCAGGGGGTTTGCTACATTGATCTAATAAAAGAAAAAAGGTTGCTTCCCCATGCCAAACCCTCAGTCAATGTAGCAGCACTTTCTTGTAGCAGCAGGCTATAAGATAGTCGATGTAGCGGCACTCCGTTGCGAGTCAGGCTATAAGATAGTCGATGTAGCAAAACCCCCTGGTAAAAATATAATTATTTTAGGCCGCGTAACTGTAGCTTTACCGATAGTAATTTTAAACATTTTGTTAAAAACCATTGTTAAAAATGGTCAAGGAAATTCAACTGATTTTCAAAAATGTCATTGAACTTTATATAAATAGTTGGCTACGAACCCTGTTGGAGAAACATTGTTTTAATATGAATTTTTTTGTTTTACAGTGCAATCTGTATCTTAAACATTAACGAAAATTGTTTTGTGTCAGTGCCAGGAATTAAATGCACACCTGCATTTCATAATTCATAAAAATATTATGAATCCATTAGCAAATATATATTTTTATCATTAAAAATTTGCCCCTCTGTTTTTAATTTTATCTGTTTTATTAGTGATTGTTGTATTTACTTTCATAAATTCTAAATGTAATATGTAACTAGTTGTATAGTTTCATAATAATATAATTAACTTTATTGTTTTAAGATAAAGTTGGATCCTTGAAAGATATGCTGGTATTATCGGCACAATGGGCAAGCATTGAAGTGCAACTTAGTGAACTACGAAATACATCAAATTCAGTTAAAAAAATTTGAATAACAAAGGTATGCTAATTATTGTATTGCCTGAAAGAGTGTCATTGCCATTAAAAGCAGTGAAGAATTCAAGTACTCTCGAAAAAAAAGACAAGAAAATACTTAAGTAAATGGTAAATTTTTTTAATGATCTGTTTATGCATCTTAGTACAATTTATATACTTTAAATAAAATACTCTTTGAAGATTTTTGTAAATGACATTTTATATTAATTTAAGTCTAAACAAATGTTACTTTAATTATTGCCACTTTGTATATTTTTGCAGGTCAATTATTTGTCACAAATTGGAGTTAAAGACGCAGGAGGTTGTATATGTTATTTACTAAGAATAGTTTTTTAAAATGGCTTAGCTGTAAAATTAAAATATGCAGGAAGAGGACAAAAAATTGGAACAGGAAAAATGTTAATAGCATATGTTGCTATTGGTATGTGGTTTAGGAAAGTTTATTTTTTCAGTTTCAATTTTGCATTACAAAATTACTTTCAATTTGTTATGTTTCTTTGGTGCATAATTAAACAAACAACTATTTTTTTTGCAGAAACTGTGAAGTCAAATAAGCATGGCTTATGCAGACATTACATTAACGATCTCCCAGATATTCTCACATCTAAGGTGGCATTATTCGCTGACGACACTACCATTTACTCTTGTCATGATAAGAAGCCTACACTCTCTGATTGCCTGGTGGGGTATCTGAGCTTGAAAAGGATCTCACTTCTGCTACAACATGGGGCTTACAGTGGCTGGTGAACTTTAGATAAAATTCAGATAAAATTCAGATAAAACTCAATTTTATTCGGCCAATCGTTATCGTAATAATTTAGATCTTCCTATATTTATGAATGGTAATGTACTAGATGAGTCATCTACCATCCATCTTCTAGGATTAACTCTTACTTCTGATCTTTCTTTTAAACCGTATATCAAATCCATTGCAAAATTAGCATCTGCTAAGGTTGCATCTCTTTATCGAGCTCGACACTTTCTTACTCCAGATTCTATTCTCTATCTCTACAAATCTCAAATCCGTCCCTGTATGGAATACTGTTGCCACATCTGGGGCGGATCTTCTAATGATGCCCTTTCTCTTTTAGACAAGGTGCAAAAACGAATTGTAAACATAGTTGGACCTGCTCTGGCAGCCAATCTCCAACCTTTGTCACATCGTCGTAATGTTGCTTCTCTTTCTCTTTTCTACAAATACTATAATGGGCACTGCTCTAAAGAGCTAGCGTCCCTTGTGCCATCTACTAAAATTCATTCTCGTGTTACTCGTCATTCAATTAAGTCTCATCCTTTTTCTGTGACTGTTCCTAAGTGCTTCAAAAACTCTTATTCTTCTAGTTTTTTTCCTCGAACATCAGTTCTTTGGAATTCGCTTCCTTCATCTTGCTTCCCTGATTCATATAATTTGCAATCATTCAAGTCATCAGTCAACCGTTATCTTGCTCTACAGATTTAGTCTTTTCTCTTCCAGTAACTTCCAACTCTTATAGTGGTTGCTTGCAGCCTTGTTGGAAGTGAATATGTTAAAAAAAAAAAAAAAAATGTGATAGATATAGCGGAATAAAAAATAATAATCATGGGGACCAAATATCATAAGCTAAGCACAATTCAATAACAAGTAGCTTAGCCAATATCGAAACTTCTCTATAAATTTTATAGTGATTTTTTTTATTTAAAACTCAATGTGTCAGTTTTTGTTTTAAGTTTGGTGTTTGCAATATGTATATTTAACCGATAAATTATGTTAAATAAATAAATTTTTATACTTGTATCATACATTCTTTTTTTTCTCTATAAATTTTCAATGTAGCAATGCAAATCATCTTATTTGTAACAACGATCTAATGTTGCATAAAATGTTAGGCCGATATATTGTTGTATACAACATTGGTCCAATATAAACGTTAAGCCGATATATTAGGGCCCAATGTATACAACATTGGGCCAATGTTGTTTACAACATTGGCCTAAGGTTATATACAACGTTGTGCCAATGTTGGGTAAACGTTGTATACAACATTGGGCCAATACCTAACCAATGATCAAACCTCCATTGGGTCAACATCGACTTTCAACATTGGGCCAATGCATCACCATGCATTGGCCCAACGTTGATCCAATGTAAGCTTGCTGTCTGGGATTTATATATATATATATATATATATATATATATATATATATATATATATATATATATATATATATATATATATATATATATATATATATATACGTACAGGGTTGGACTAGCTCTAAAACAAGGACCGGCCTCATCAAATTGTAACAGCCTATTTACACTTCTTGTTTTTTAAATGTATTTTAATATTTATAATAAAAGGATGTGTGACTTAGTTCTAATAAACGTCTTTTCACAAGTTTTTAGCCTTTGTTAAACTTTCTTAATTTTCATGGAGATTTTAGTTAAAGACAAGAAAAAATGTATTAAAAATTTAGGAGAAATTCATTACTCGAGGAGATAATCATTTTCAATCTTCTTAAGGTTATTTAATAAGTCTAAAGGAGGTTTAATTATTTAAGGTTTTTAATCAAAAGTGGGAACCCTGTAACACGTTAATAAAATAATACAAATAAAGAAACCATTATGTGTAATAACCCATGAGGTATAATAATCTAAATTATTAACACTTTTTTTAGTAAAGGACTATGTTTTACAACTTCATCAATAATGTTGTCGTGTGTTAATTTTTCGAAAATGTCTTTATTTAAATTCAATTAAGATCCAAGCATCCAAATTGTCAAGTGATAAATGATTCCGTAGACAATTTTTTATATAATTTAAGGTAGAAAACTTTTTTCACAGCCTACTTGGGTGCAAGACAAACTCATGGTATATTTATAGGCCAAAAATAAATGGCTGTACGACTGAAAAAATAATCTGTACTGAAACAAAACATTGAAACAATAAAGAAAACAATTAGAACAAATTAAAGAAAATCATAACTTATAAAGAAAACAATTTTAAAAAATTAAAGAAAATCATAACTTATAAGTTATAACAACCAAGATTATTTAAAACAATTAATCACCTCGACATATTAAATAGGTGAACTTAATGTTTAAAATATCTCATCAATTTTGGGACATTTTTTTGCTTCATTAATCAATGTTATTTTGTTACGCTCTCTTTATTTTTTCTCCACAAAATTTTCAGAGTTTAATAACAAATCAGCAGAAAATCACTAATCAATTTTTTTGATTTTCACACTGAGGTTTCATCAATTAAGACTTATCAGAAACTTCTAAACCTTATATACAGTGTCATGGCTACTAAGTCCAAACCGCTTCCCCCTCCCACCCCAAAAAAAAAAACCTGTTATAGAGGCCCCAAAATTTTTGAAAATTTTTCTAATAGGTATTAAAAATTTTTCTAAATAGTAAAAAAAAAAAAAAAAAAAAACTACCTACATTTGAAGACTCCACGGGAAGAAACGGCAGGGTCACATTTTGAATATTTTGACATTTTACACTTTTTAACTTTATAAACAATATTATAATACATTTTATCTGAATTCAAATCAAAAAAACAATTAGATGTACTTTTATAGTTTGATGGAACTTAATCACTTTTTTTAATTATATAATACATACCTCCCCGAAAAAACAAGTGTTAATGAGTTAAAATAATATTTGCAACTTACTAATAGACATAAACCAAGTTTACCATTTTTATTTTTTGAATTATCAAGACTCATACTTACGGCTATAAGTCTTTACTTTTCACACAAATAATCACAGGTGATTTGGTTAATGTAAATTAAATAATAAAAATGGCGACACTTGAAATACCAATAAAAATGCTAAAAAAATCTAAGAAAAGAAAGAGTAAGGAAAGATTGCGTGAAAGTATAAAAAAAGATTAGCATCGCATAAAACAGGGCTTGAATGTAACTTAAATGCTTATAGAAGAAGAAAAAAAAAATGTTATTAAGATATTTTAACGCTCTATCCAGCAAGAATGCTCAAGATTCGTATCTTGCAAGTTTAATAACTTTAAATAACGTTTCAAAAAGAAGACCACGAAGCATTAATTTAAAAGATTATAATAGCAGCTACAAATATAAATTTTTAATTACAAATCACGAGATACTCACGAGTTCGTTTATTTATGTTTGCTTTTCTGCGTTTATTTCAATCTTTGGCATAAAGAATGGAAGATTAGAGACCATTAAAAGAAGCCTTTTAACTAAAGGTAATTTATATATTTTTATTGAATATAGAATGCTTATTTTTAATGGAAGTTTTCTTATATATAAAAATTATTTTCTCTCATTCTAGGTCACTCTCCCCGTGATAGAAGAGGTAAACACAAGAATCAGTATAACAATTTTACTCCTTAACTAAAAAATAAAATATGTGATCACAGTTCTTCTTTCAGAGGTAGATACCAAGATCTATTAATTATAACCAAGATGAATGACTTGTTTAAAATCAAGTATGGAAATGATGAATTGTCATATGAATCTTATCGCAACATATTTAACAAAGTTTTAACATTTCTTTTGGGTACCCTAGGACTAAAACGTTCTAAATGCGATGAGTTTAAAATTAAATTTGATGCAATAAAAATTGAACTATCTTTTAATTTGGAATTTACAAAGCCTGAACAACAATTGCATAAGCTTGAGTTACAGAAAGAACAGCACCACAAAGATGCAGAAATATTTTATGTTAGGAAAAGAAATGCTTGGTTTAAAGCACTAAAGGAGTACAAGTTTGAGGCAATTGCTTTTGATTTCAAAAAAAATCTTAACTTACCAAATCAATCAACCAACGACTTTTACTACAAACGAAAATTAGCATTTTATTCATTTAATATTCACGTGCTTTCAAGCAATGAAGTTTATTTGTATTGTTATGATGAAATTATAGCTAAAAAAGGGGCTGATGAAGTAACTTCAATGATTTTTTTATAAAACATTTAGACAAAGAAATTTGATCTGTAGAGCTATTTTGTGATTCATGTGCTGGCTAAAACAAAAACTATACATTAATTCGTTTTATGGATTTTCTTGTTCGTGAAAAAAAAAGGTTTGACTTTATTAAAGTTGCATCTCCAGAACGTGGTCATTCTGTTATGGAATGTGATAAAGATATGGGATTAATTAATTGCAAAACACCCACTAGTGATGCATCAGATTGGATTAAAACATTCAAAAATGCTCGTAAAAAACCCACTCTGTTTCATGTTATAGAATTAACGCAAAGTATGGTTAAAAGTATAACTGATTTTACGAGACCATTTTATAAGAATAAATGTCCAATTCCAAATAATAGGTTAACCTTTAAATTATAAACAAATTGAACTTTGTCATCAACAGTGATATTTTTGAATGAAAGATTCATAATAAAAATTAAAGCCTTTCGTTAACGAAAACCTCCAAAGGACCGATTAATTAGTTCAAGATAGAGAATGTTCGAGTTTCGAGAGTATAATCCATAAATAAGGGTTCGACTGGATTCAAAAAAGTTCGAAATACCAAGTATTCAAGATATCGAGAGTTGACTGTATGTGATATTTTCATGCACGACATAAGAACAAAAATTGAAGCCTTTGGTTAACGAGAACTATAATTATTTTCTAAACGAAAATATCAACACTAAACAGTATTTTTAATTTTAATTCGATCCCCTAGACTTTTTAAGGGTCAATATTAGGTCTTGGTGGTGAGGCTGTTTGGTAAAATTAGCTTCTGCCTAATTTTATTTATAAGCTAATAAAAAAATAATTAACATTTTATGTTTTTAATTGATCGAAAAACTAATAAAATAAAAAAAGATATTTTACCGGGAAAAAAACGGCAGAGTCCATAAAAAACCTCACTTAAAAAAGAAAACCTATAACGTAAATTATTATATTTAAATTATAAATACAACTTTAATTGCATAAAAAATTAGTTCCTTTTGTAATATATCTTTAAAATTTTAATCCTTCCCCTAAAAATAAAAAAGTTATATAGGTTTAAAAGTTTAAAAATGATTTATCGCAAAATGAAAAAATGTGACCCTGCCGTTTCTTCCTGTGGAGTCTTCATTTGCAAATGATCCCCTATATTTTTAACTAAAACATATTTATACTTTTTTTTTTCAATTTCAAAATAATTATCACCTTCATTAGCTGAAGCAAAATACTCTAAACCATTATAATTTTTAAATTGTAAACAGTGTTGTTACTGACCCATCAAAATGAGGAATACTAAACTTTTGTGTATCTCCTTGTACGTGTTTATTTAAACAACCCCTGCAACTTTTGATCAAGCTTCTTTAATTTACAAAAAAAAAGAAAATCATATTTAAATGAGGGACATCTATAAAGTACTTTAAATTTAACTACATCATCTTCCATATGTATTAAAAAATGGACATTGTAAATTAGTTGATCCTTACTATAAAGTTCACCAAATGATTGCACAAAATAAGTTAGCAACTGACAAGCAAAATGAACATATTTTTTCATAAAAATAAGACATAATAAAATTAGAACTGCAACTGAAATATCTAAAAAGTTTGAATAGATTTTTGGTTGAATCAATCCCTTTAAAACAACTGACCCAGTGTATATTTGAAAAGATCTAAGTTCAGTTGCTTTCCATTTCTTAATTTCTTATAAAGACCTTGGTTTTCTAAAAACATTTTCTTGGAATGTAACCGCGTATCTGGAACAATAGGTCAGATAAAGTATTGACTGTAATCTGAGACAATTTACAATATTTTTGCCATTTAAACGTTGACGAATCTTTGCATACCCCTAAGCATACTAGATGCATAAAGTCTAAAGGAAACTTTGTTACCATGTCAAAATTTAATTCAGTGGTGTGTTAAACCACTAAGATGCTCAGAATGCTTTTTATGACAAAAATTCAAATCAGTCTTTAAAACTGATGAAATATGTAGGAGTATTATCTTGCCACACCACTCTCCTTTCTGAACACAACGCTCACATTGGTTATGACCATTTTGTCACTTAATACACTTAACAAATGCTCTAGCTGGGGCATCACATATAATAACAGCAAGATTGGTTTCGTACTCGATATTTTCATAAAAAAGCCATATTTTGCAAAAACTTTGAACTCTACCAAAATATTAACGAGATATTCAAAAATGGAATTAGTTTTTGGGCACTTATCAAACAAATCTTCTAAACTGTGAGTGCTAGGCCTAGGCTCTGACAGGAACTTTTATAAACAGCAACAACTTTTGGCAAATTTTATTTAAAAATTTTTACATGTATGTTTAAATTGTGTCTCTATTTTAGATTTTCATTAAATACATTCCACATTTTTTTTTATAAAATATATTTATCGAGTATTATTTTATTTTACTTTCAGCTATCAAGCTGATTAAATTGACTTGATTACCTTCAGCTTTAATTTGAAGCTGATGAGTTTAAAGCTGAAACTGAAATATCAACTGCAACCCCAACTTTATAAACAGCATAGTTGTTTTGATGTATATACTTTATCATAATACAAGTGTGTTTTTTTTTATACTTAATACTTATTTTTTTTATTTAATAATACATGTTTTTTTTTAAACATGCTTTTTTATAATATTTAAATACTTAAGAAAACGTTGATTTTATAATTCTTTAAATAAAATAAAAATTTCTTACATTACTCTAATCGTGGTAATCAGTGGTGTGGAGTTGTAAAAAAAAAGTACCGACTCAGACTCCGACTCCAATCGTTGAAATTTTCAGAGTACGACACTAATTCCAACTCCGAAGCAAAATTTTTGTAAAGTTCTTTGAATTCTTTAAAAAATATTACGCGGTAATTAAAAAACTTTTTTTTTGTCAAACATATGAAAGTTAAATTTTGAAAAAAAGTTAAAAGTTGAAGGTTAAATATTTTGTACATGCACGTGCAATAACAAGAAGTTTTACTATTGGAGTCGGAGTCGCAATTTTGTTTAACGACTTCGCTAAAAGTCTCGCAACTCCGACTCCACGACTCCAACTCCACAGGACTGGTGGGGATAAACAAAGGTAATACTTACTCTAATTATTATATTTGTCTCCAAAGTTCATGCAATTTTATCATACATAAGTCTCTCACTAATTTTAATAAATAAAAAGTTATTACCATTATTATAACTGTATTTACTAACCTGTCATTACTAATTTTTATCAAAAATACATTCTGGTTGTTGAAGTCACTTTTCCTCATATCAGTATGAAAATATTGTCAACAATCAGTGTGCACCAAACAGAAATATTTTTAAACATGCTGCAAAATACTTGATATACATAAGATACAAATCATATAAAACCTATTTTTGTTTCTTTAATTTGCAACTTAATATTTTTATCCCAACATTTAAAAATTAAATTATAGAAAACAAAAACGGTGTATAACTTATTTTAACTCAGTTATAATATATAACCATATAGTCTCAATCTATATAGTAATTATTATCTTTTTTTAAATTAATGTTGTTTATGTTAAAGTTATCAAGTTAAATTAAAGTTTTATAACTAAAGTTTGAATGCAAAAGTTCATATCAACAAAAATTTTATCAGTATTGTAAATATAATTTAGGTATTATAAGTATTTATAAGTATAAATATTGTAAGTATAAGTTATTGGTATGTATATTATTGTTGATATTACAAGCATACAAATTTAAATCAAAGCCAAAAAATATCAATTATTTAAAAATGCAGTAAATGCATAACAATAAGGCTATTATTGAATTTATTTGTAAACACTTGATATTTATATCTGACAGTGGATAAACTTTGTTAACATCAGTCATTTTGCTTGAATAAAATATAGAAAAATTAATTTAAAGAGTAGATCTGTAAAAACGATTTAAAAGCTTTAAACTCTTTAAATAAACCTCTCCATCATAACATTTGCTGTTATGATGGATAGGTTTGTTCTTCTTGAATGTTTCTGATTAAATCAATTTTTTGAGCAACTTCAAAGCAGTTATTAACATCACTAGCAGAAACCAAACTCTTGAAAAACTATTAAATTTCGATCATTTTAAAAATGCAAACAGTGTCTCAATGGAATAGTTAATTATAATGATAATAAATAAATGAAATTCTAAAACAGTATTTTTTTAATGGAGTTTCACAGTGAAAAAATACACCGAAAATTTCTCTTTAGTTAATGTTGGGCCAATGCATGATGATGCATTGGCCCAACGTTGAAAGTCGATGTTGGCCCAATGCAGGTTTGATCATTGGTTAGGTATTGGCCCAACGTTGTGTACAACATTGAACCAATGTTGTATACAACGTTTACCTAACATTGGCCCAACGTTGTATATAACGTTAGGCCAATGTTGTATACAACATTGGTCCAACGTTGTATACAACATTGGCCCAACGTTGTATACAAAATTGGCCTAACGTTGTATACAACATTGGCCCAATATCATATGTTATATCTCGGCCTAACGTTTTATGCAACATTAGATAGTTGTTACAAATAAGATGATTTGCATCGCTACATTGAAAATTTATAGAGAAAAAAAAGAATGTATGATACAAGTATAAAAACTTTTTTATTTAACATAATTTCTCGGTTAAATATAAATATTGAAAACACCAAATTTAAACCAAAAACTGACACATTGAGTTTTAAATAAAAAAATTCATTGTAAAATTTATAGAGTAGTTTCGATATTGGCTGAGCTACTTGTTATTGAATCGTGTTTAGCTTATCATATTTGGCACCCACGATTATTTTTTTTTCTTGCACTATCACTATCACATGTCTGCTTAAGCCATGCTTATTTGACTTCACAGTTTCTGCAAAAAAAAATAGTTGTTTGTTTAATTATGCACCAAAGAAACATAACAAATTGAAATTAATTCTGTAATGCAAAATTGAGACTGAAAAAATAAACTTTTCTAAACCACTTACCAATAGCAACATATGCAATCAACATTTTTCCTATTCCAGTTTCATTTATTTATAAATAATAATAAATTTTATAAATAATAATAAAATTTAATAAATTAAATTTAATAAAGATTATTAAATAAATCAAACTTTAAGATCTTTCACAAAAATAATTTGATTATTGCCTTCATTATTACACTAATAAGTTTAGATTGTAGTAAAAAATGTTTTAAGCATATTATTTAAGTGTTAACAAATATTTTATTATTTAAAAAAACAAAACATTAAGTCACGAGAATCTATTGAAGTTCACATCTTATAAGGAACCTTTTAAGATTCTTAGAAGATTAATAAATATAGCTTCTTTTTTTTATTTTTATAATTTAAATAAATTGAAAGATATATAATAGTATCAAAACTTTTTTTTATTCTGTCAAACGATACCTTTTTTAAAAAATGTTTCGAAACAAATTTAAAAGTATAGCCAATTTTGTTGGGCCAATGTAAGCTTGCTGTCTGGGTTATACCGTAGCCAATATTCGGCCAATGTAGTTGCGGATTAGTAAATAATTTTAAAACATTTTTAAAAATGGTATCGTTTGACAGAATAAAAAAAGGTTTTGATATTATCTTTCCATTTTTTTAACTTATATATATAAAAAAAAAAAGAAGCTATATTTATGAATCTTCTAAGAATCCTAAAAGGTTCGTTATATGAAATAAATTTCAAGAGATTCTCGTGACTTAATGTTTTTTTTTTTTTAATAATGAAATATTTGTTAACAGTTAAATAATATACTTGAAACATTTTTTACTACAATGTAAATTATTAATGTAATAATAAAGGTAGTAATTAAATTATTTTTGTGTAAGATCTTAAAGTTATTTTTTATACTTATTGCTGTATTAGCATTTCAAATGTTTGATTTATTTAATAATCTTTATTAAATAAATGTAACATTTCAAATGTTCGATTTATTTAATAAAGAAGACATTTTAAATTCTTCTTTATTAAATATTTGAAATGTCATACAGTGTAAGTATTAAAAAAAAAATTTTTTTTCATAATTTATTTATAATAGTTTAGATTATATAGCTATTATAAGATATATTATTAAAGGTATCAGTAATATATATGTGGCATTGAAGTTGTTAGAAGCTGATATTTTACATTTTAAGTATGTCTTTTTTGTTTGATTGTGAAACCCCATCTACTAAAATATTAAAACAGTGTACAAAAAGTGATGTTATTAGAATTTATATTCTACTTATGTAGAGCTTTCTAATATTGCCAGACATTTTGTTTTAAGACCAATGACTAGTCCAAAATAATTTATTGAATTATGAGATTAAATCAATAAATAATCATTAAAGTCAATTAAAATAGACTCAATTTAAATCTGATTTAAATCATGATTTAAATTGAAACAACCCTTTATATATTCCATCTTTCTGAGGTAGAGGGACATTATTCTTGGTTTTATAATTTTTAATTTAATATCTCTGGATATTTTTCATAATTAGTTTGCGTAATGCAGTTAACAACTTTAAGCTTATACATTAACTTTCGTTATAACTTAGTTATTAATAATTTGATTTATAGATTTTTATAACAATACAAGATTGAATTTAGCAGAAGGCTAAACTTCTGCTCTGGAGACAAAAAAGGAAGATAGCGAAAATAACCAGCCAAAATAAAGATTAAAGAGACAAAAAATTGTGTATATCTTGGTGTAGATGATTTATCCTCAATTTCTTATAATAAAACTAAAAATATTATTAACCTTTAGGATTTACCTGTAACTACAAACTTTTTACAGAAGTTCAATGTTTGCTCTGAGAAGTTAAATGAACAAAATTTATTAAATGGTAAGTTTTTATATAAAATTCTTTATGTCTGATGATTGAAAATCTTTATTCATAGGTTTAACTTTTACAATTTTAAAGACTTTTTCATATATTACAGTCAAAAAGTCAGAGTGTTGATTAACATTTTATTGTGTAATAATCAACATATCAAAGTTTACACCACAGGCTTGGTCAGAAAGCAGGAGCGATCGCTCTCAAATACTGACCGCCGAAATTATATTTAGTTACAAAAAACTGGCCAAGTTTTTTAGTTGTTTTAAGTTTATGAATGTAACAAAAATTTTTTGTTGGATTTCAAAGTTGGTGCCACTAACTTTAAAATCTATTTCAAATCAACTGCCGAAAAAAATAACAGAGTATTCATATCAGTTTAAAGTTTTAACAGTTGCTGGTGGTTTATTATTATTTATTATATAAACATTTATTTAAATTTATCTAATAGACAAAAGTAATACGATATTTTTATAGATGATATTATTTTTTAAATTGTATTATTAAAATTCAGAACTAAAAATATGTAAAAAAAAAATTATATTCAAACATTGGACAAGGTCTGTACTGTACCTGGAAAATCTGGAAAATATGTTAATATTGGCCAAAGTGGTGGAAAACCTAGAAAAGTCAAGGAATTATTTTTTTTTTTTAGATAGTCATGGAAAAGTCAGTAATTCTAGTTAAGAAGTTACTCATTTTGCAATTTAACGCTGTATTTTGAAAACATGAAGAGTCACAATTTTTAAAATTGAGGTTATTTGAAAAGAATATTTTTTTTAGTAAAAGATAAAATTATAAGATAAAAAATAGATTTTTTAGATAAAATAAAGATTTTTTTTTTGATAAAAATAATAATTTTTAGTTAAAATAAAAACAAAATTTTTTTTAGGAAAAATGTTTTTTACTTAATTTTAATTTTGTGACTTGTCACATTTTCAAAATGCAGCGCTCAATTAAGCTATTATGTTTTTTTTTTGGTGCTATTAATTTATTTTTTCTGAAACATGTTTTTCTTAGTATTCATTCTTAATCATCCTTAATAATAAGAACCATACTAACATGTATAATAAGATCTATACTAATAGCTAACTTAAGTAATAGCTAAGTTTTATAAGTTTTGTCATTCAAAGCATGTATATTCTTAGCATATCCATTACAGTAGATAGTAATTTTAAACATTTTGTAAAAACCATTGTTAAAAATCGTCAGGGAAATTCATCTGATTTTTCAAAAAAGTCATTTAATTTTATATAAACAGTTGGCTACGAACCCTGTTGGAGAAACATTGTTTTAATATGAGTTTTTATGTTTTACATTGCAATGTGTATCTCAAACATTAATAAGAATTGTTTTGTGTCAGTCCCAGAAACTGAATGCACACCTGCAAATTTCATAATTCATAAAAATATTATGAATCCATTAGCAAGTATATATTTTGATCATTAAAAGTTTGGCCCTTTGTCTTTAATTTTATCTGTTTTATTAGTGATTGTTGTATTTACTTTTATAAATTCTAAATATAATATATAATTAGTTGTATAGTTTCTTACTAATATAATTAACTTTATTGTTTCAAGATAAAGTTGTATCCTTGAAAGATATGCTGGTATTATTGGCACAATGGGCAAGCATTGAAGTGCAACTTGGTGAACTACTAAATACATCAAATTCAGTTATAAAAATTTGAGTATCAAAGGTATGCTAATTATTGTCATTGCTATTAAAAGCAGTGAAGAATTCAAGTACTTTGAAAGAAAAGAAAATACGTAAGTAAATGGTAAATATTTTTGTATGATTTTTTTATGCATTTTGTATGATATCTTAGTACAATTTATATACTTTAAATAAAATACTTTTTGAAGATTTTTTGTAAATGACATTTTATATTAATTTAAGTCTAAACTAAAGTTACTTTAATTACTGCCAGGCTGTGTATTTTTGCGAGTTAATTATTTGGCACAAATTGGAGTTAAAGGCGAAGGAGATTGTATGTGTTATTTACTAGGAATAGTTTATTAAAATGGCCTAGTTGTAAAATTAAATTATGCAGGGAGAGGATAAAAAATTGGAATAGGAAAAATGTTGATTGCATATGCTGCTTTTGGTAAGTGCTTTAGAAAAATTTATTTTTTCAGTTTCAATTTTGTATTACAGAATTACTTTCAATTTGTTATGTTTCTTTGGTGCATAATTAAACAAACAACTTTTTTTTTTTGCAGAAACTTTGAAGTCAATTAAGCATGGTTTATGCAGACATGTGATAGAGATAGCGGAAGAAAAATAATAATCGTGGGCACCAATTATCATAAGCTAAACACGATTCAATAACAAGTAGCTCAGTCAATATCGAAACTACTCTATAAATTTTATAGTGAATTTTTTTATTTAAAACTCAATGTGTCAGTTTTTGGTATAAGTTTCGTGTTTGCAATATGTATATTTAACCGAGAAATTATGTTTAATAAATAAATATTTATACTTGTATAATACATTCTTTTTTTTCTCTATAATTTTTCAATGAAGCGATGCAAATCATCTTATTTGTAACAACGATCTAATGTTGCATAAAACGTTAGGCCAATATAAAAATAATAATCGTATAACATACGATATTGGGCCAATTTTGTATACAACGTTGGGCCAATGTTGTATAAAACGTTGGGCCAATGTTGTATACAACATTGGCCTAACGTTATATAAAACGTTGTGCCAATGTTGGGTAAACGTTGTATACAACATTGGGCCAATGTTGTACACAACATTGGGCCAATACCTAACCAATGATCAAACCTGCATTGGGCCAACATCGACTTTCAACGTTGGGCCAATGCATCACCATGCATTGGCCCAACATTGGTCCAATGTAAGCTTGCTGTCTGGGAAATGTAAAAACAGATATTATGGCAAAATATTAAGCCTAGACTACATTGGCCAAATATTGGCCCAACGTAGTACGATAATTGCAAAAAACCGATTTGTAGAATTGCAATATTACGCCGAAAAAAAAACATTGGCTAAATGTTGGCCCAACGGAATAAACTTGCCAATGTTAAAACTTACATTAGGCCAATGTAAACTTGCTGTCTGGGATGAGAATCATCCGGAAACCAAAAAATTTACCCATCATAATTCCGTTTCCGTAAGCCCAGAAAAAACCATACGGTACCCGTTTGTCAATGTTGGCTGGGTACTTTGATTTGTACTATCACCGACCAGAATCAAACTTTATAATCCTGCAGTTGTTCATCATGCCAGATTTATGGGTAAACGTTTATTTTACCTAAATCTGTTTCTACTCATGGGAAAATGAGTAGTAAAACGAGCTCCTATTGAGGAGTATTTCTTAGAAAGACAGGTGTTTTCTAAAAACGCTCTTATGAGCCTAAACCTTTCACATGATGAGCCTCCCAGTTTAGTTCCACTAGTTACGGAGAAATTAGTATAATGTTTGACATGCTTGGTCATGCTTTCAATTGTACTGCATAAAAACAATACGTATAACAGAATGAGACTTTGACGTGGTTTATGTGCTTTAAACAAACAACTCTCGTACCTCTTATGCTTAGGAAAGAGAGCATCGGCACTTGTTTGAATCAATACACAATAAATCAAAATTTATACAATTTGTTCAAAAAATTGTAGTTGACTGTACTATATAATTATCGAAAAATTATTTGTTTTTAAAAGTTTTTATTTATCTTTAGTACATATCATTTTAAGTGCACTTTTTGATTTTAAAAAGTAAATATATAGTGTTTGTTTAACCTAAATTTGAGCATGTTTTTTATGTAAAAGAGAACAATTTAGTTTAGATTTCTAACATACATAAAACATTTTTGCTTTAGCGAGTTACATTGCTGTGCCAAAGAGTTTATTGTATTAAGGTATCAAAGAGGGAGGGAATGTTGACAAAAAATATTTGCCAAAGGAGAAAAAAATTTTGTATTTCGATATTTATAAATAACATTGATAAGTAATAATCAAAAAATTTTTATTTAACATATTCAACATTTAACAAAAATTTCCAAATTGATCAACATTGCGTCGTTTTTTTGCATACTCCTCCACAAATCCTCCATTCATTTGATAGACGAGGAACGCTATCACAACATATTTCGCTAGCAAAGTGGTAACATGTATTTCCACATTCTCCGTATTCATTGTTTTTTCTTGGTATTTCATCGCAGCAGCGGTAATCTGTCAAATGAAAACATCGGCCTCCGCATTCCATTTCGTCGTATGTACCTTAAAAAAAAACATTTGAAAATACATGTTTTAATACATAAAAATACATAAAATACATATAAGACTTAGTTGTTTAGTAGATTTATTTTTCGCAATGAACAACTCATTTTCATAATACATGATAATTAACTTTTAATTAATCATCTTTTACTTTTGTCTTGTCCGTATCAATCTTTCATACACTAATAATGTATCGGGTAACACTCACAAAATGCACATAAAGCAATAATACTCTTTGTAAGTTTTTATTTTATAAGATGGTTCATAAATTCCTTTATATTGTTTAAGACTTAATAAGTCTTAAACTGTTGTTCTACCAATATGACAGAATTTATGAATTGTGTTATAAAATAAAAATTTACAAAGAGTATTATTGCTTTATGTGCATTTTGTAAGTGTTAGCCGATACATTATTAACGTATGAAAGATTGATATGAATAATTATTTATTACTTTATGTGCATTTTCAATTGCATTTTGTGCTTTATGTGTATTTTCAAAATTCCATAAATTATAAGTAATATTTCATGGAGTTTTGAAGAAAGATGTCTACCAGAACTACCAGAACTACCAGAACTACCAGAACTCCAGAAAAAGGTTGTTATGGTGAATACTTTCTTTAACTCCATTTTTGTTTACATTATTACTTAAAGTAAAAACAAATTAAGTTTGTAATGGTTATAAAATTTTATATCTCATTTTTATTATATGAGACTCATTATTTTTTTTTAATAGTTTATTGTATAAACTAAAGTTTAAGGTGTTTGTAAACAAAAAATAAAAAATAATTTAATAAACTAAAAGTATTAAAGACTTACATTGTTTAGCTTCAACATAATAAATAGCCATTATTACAAAAGCAAGAAGTAAGACGAATTTCATTTTTGCTTTGTGTTTTTCTGTAAGAGAAAAAAAAGTGTATATATAAATATTAAGAAAAATACTTTACATTATTAACATTACTATACTTGTAAATATTGGTCGTTTAAAGCTGCAAGAAAAACATCCATAGAGCAAATCACTATTGAGAAAAAACCAAAGATGCGTTGCAGCAAATGCCTCAGCCCTTTAGTAAAAGGTTTGCCCCACCAATGCTCTAAAATAATGTTAAGGGAAAACATTTATTTTTTAGCAGTAAAAGATGCCAAACAAATTACCAAACAAATTGCATCTCGAGTTATTTCCAATAAAGAATTATCTCCGGAAGGAACTATTCTACTGGCTAAAGCTTCCGGCGGGCCTCTACTTACAGTTACTCCTGGTAAATATTTATACTTAAATAATTTTAACATATATATTGAAATAAAGTCTTGACTTTTAAGAAATAATACTATACAGATTTCAAGAAGTATACTTTTGACAAGTTTCTAATTTCTTTAAAAACAAATAACTTGAAAGTTTTACACAAACTTACTAAACAAAGTTTATTGTAACTATAAAACATGTATGTTTTGGTTTTAGGTCAAAGTAGTGCGCAGACTCCATCAAGTGCTCCAAAATTGACTACTGTCGCTCTTGTAAATGTGCAATTAAATATGGGCCTGTCAAACAACGGATTAAAGAAACTTGTTAGAACTGTAAATAAAACATCAAGCAGCAAGATGGTAGAGCGAAATTTTTACATAAATTTTCTAAGACTAGGTCAACAATTGAGCAATTTATTCACCTGCAGCGACTTAAAAATTACAAAAGAAAAAACAGATTCTTGTACAGCTCATGTTGTTGCTTACTGCAATGATTTATCAAGTCTTGTGAACCATGTTATTCAGTCCCGCAAAATTTCTGGTGGCTATTTTGTTAAGCTCGGAATTGATGGTGGCGAAGGTTTTCTCAAGTTTTGCGAAGCATTGTTGATACTGCGTTAAGGGATGAAACCAACTCACCGAACCAACAACAACTTTCACTCAAAGGACTGGTAAAGACACTGGAGTCAAGATACAAATTATTGTTGGAGTTTCAGAAGATTTGCCAGAAACACACTCTAATATTGAAAATATCTGGTCACGGATCAATGAAAATGGAGTTAAACTAATTTTGGCTTGTGATATGAAAGTTGCAAATATAATATGCGGTCTTCAAACTCATTCAAGTACGCACCCTTGCACTTGGTTTGACGTCAAATCCAATTGTCTTGTCAAATCTAAAAACTTGCGAACACTGGGCTCAATTAATTCAAGCCTTGAGTCTTTTCAGCAATCTGGCGAGGTTGTTGCTAATGTAAAGCTGTTTGGTAATGTCATTCGAAAGCCAATCGTCTGCGGGCCTGTCAATGTTCTGATTTTGGAAATCATTCCACCGATGGAATTTCATCTCTTTTTAGGAGTTGTCAAATATCTTTTCAAGACCTTAAAACTGCTTGAATAAATGTAGGAAACTTCTTAAAAATGTGGATATGCTGCAGCAACTTGCTGAGACAAACATGGTTCCCAATATTGTGTGCATAATTGAAGCCTTCAAAAGTTTCAATTTAGTTGACAAGGCTTGCTTTGGATACATCCTTCAGCCAAATTTCGATGAAAAATTAAAATTTCAAAAAGTATTACCTAATGATAACTTGTACAAGCGTAACACCCAAAATTCACGCCGTCTTCTACCACATTAAGAATTTCATCAGTCACAAAGGATCCCCCTTGGGCCCTTATTGTGAACAAACTGTTGAAACTTTTTATCAAGATTTTTATCAACATTGGTTGAGGAATAAGCGAAATAATAATTATCCAGAGTACAAAGAAAGATTGTTGCGCTGCAGAATTGATCTAAACAGTAAGCTTATTAAAAGAACACTATTTGAGTTATTAGCAGTAGTAGGCTGCTGAAATTCATATTTTACGGAGTATAATGAATATTTTCACCATCTTTAAAAGTAGTATTATAGAGTATTTGTATTAAAAGAGTACATTGAGCTATTTATTAATAATCTTTTGGTGGAGAAAATTGAAAAAACATTTCTTAAAATGTAGTTAGATATTTGATGGTAACACAATGTAAAAAATAGGGTTTAAATAGTTTTCACTTCATTTTAAAAGTAAATGTATTTAAGAAGGTCAATACAAAATTTTTTAGTAGATCTACTTTTTTTTTTGTTTTACTAACTGGTAGTCCTTTGACCAGGTTTTGCACTTTTTTTTAGCTTTTTTTTCTGGCAGCATTTTATA